AATTTTTTTTTTTTTTTTTTTTTTTTTTTTTCTACCACTAAAATATGTATCTAAAATTCTCACTCTTATCAACTCATTTTTTGTATAAAAAAATTTAATTCCTTCATAATTCCAATACCATTCTTTCTTTTCTTCATCACTATAAAAGAAAAAAAATGAATAATTTTTTTTTAAATCATATTGAAAAATTTCCTTAAAACTCATTAAAAAAAAAAAAAAAAAAATATATATATATTTACAATTCTTTAGGTTCTCTTAAATTTGCACAATTAACTCTTATATTTTCAAAAAAACCTAAACTTACTAAGAATAAAAAGAAAAGCTATTTATAATTATGTGATTTAAAATATGAGTAAAAATATAATAATCTAAAATAAATAGTTAACTTATTATTCCATTATAATCAGAACTTTTAACATATCCTTCAATAATTTCATTTTCAAATGGTTGAAAAAAGACTAAACGAAAAATTACTTTAAATCTAATTTCACCACTTCCTATCAATATTTCTTTATTTTTTATTTCTAATATATCATATAAACCAACACAAAAACCAACATTTTGTAAAACCTAATAAAGCATACGGATGTAATATTTTATAAATAATAGTTGTATAAATTACAATTTTTTTGAATGAATAAAAAAAAACTTAATATTATTTAATTTGGCAAATATGCCTCTTACTTTATATATTTTTTATTATTCTCTCTATTTATATATATATATATATATGTATATTATTTTTTTTTTATTTGTTATAAATTTTACTTTATCAATATATTTAGCTCTTAATAAAAATTCAATTACACTTTTTATTTCTTCATCTTTAAAATGAGCTTCAATATTTAGTACATCTTCAATACGAAAAAGTGAAAACATTATATTTTAAAAGTTATATAGAAAAAGTTAAAAAATTGATATCATATTAAAAGAATATAGTTGCATCAGAAAAAAAAAAAAAAAAAAAAATATTAATTATTCATTCTTTACTAATAAAAAAAAATTTTATAAAATTTATTATTTATTTTATTTTTTTTTTTTTAAATGGAAAATTTAGGTACTTTTTTTAAATATAAATATATGTATATATAAAAAAAAAAAAAAA